TGTTGCAAAGAAGCCATACTGAATTATCAGAGAGCAGTTCCTCATTCTTACTACTAATATTCCTGTACAATAAGATGGTGTGCACAGTCTCAACAATGAGAAAAAAATAACGATAGAGCTTTAGAATATGGTAATGTAGTGGAATGACTTAAATGACTGGACTGGCAATTACTGAGTATTGCGTATTCGGGAAGGGTAGAGTTAGTAGAGGAAGAAGCAGCAGCAATTTTAAATACTACAGACTAAAGCGGCTCCTGAGCGTATATCAATGAGCATGATGATAAAGCTCAGGGAACAGGACTAATGGGCCCACCAGAAAACAGATGAGCTACATTTCAAGTGCCCTTGTAATGAAAGATAAATGGCTGGAGACATCCTGGGCACTCCGAGTTTCCTAAAATTATTTCCAGAAGGGCTTTCTAATATAAGATCCTGGATATGTTACTTTGAGCCATATTATAATGTCTAGAGACAATAATCGATGCCCTGGAAGTTGGTGGTTACAGACCAACAGAGTCTGGATTTACCCACAGGTCTATGCACATCTACCCACTGATCAATGTACAATTTTTTTCTATTTCTACCACTGCTTTGAAAAACCTAAAACTAGAAGAAAAACTTGGGTAAATGTGACTAGAAATAAGAAAATGGAAAAGGAAAATGTAAATTTCTGACTCTAGACAAAAGAAATATAAATATTTTAAATACGACAAAATATTTTAATATTTTACATTATTATTTTACTATTTTAAAAACTACAAAATGAGGTAATCTCTGGCTATGTGGTCAGGAGGTTCGACAATGATGGCAGCAATTAAAAAATGAAAACAATGCATATGGGAAGACAAAATAAGTAGTTGGTATAAACTTGATGGAAAAGAATACAATCTTGATGAGGACAGTTTAAAAAAGGCCTGACTAACAAAGACAAGGATAATACAAGAGAAATTTTAATCTATTGGGAACAAAAGCAGTGCTCAAAAGGCAGAGGTGGCCTGTTGCTGACCATAAAAGTCCTGGTGTTTGGTATTTCTCAGTTCAAAGCAAGAGGGAGGGTGTATTTGCCGTTCTGTTAGCAGCCAGGCAGAGCAGTAGCAGGACTGAAAATAAGCCCGGGTGCGGCAGCCAAAGCGGCAGCTGGCTCACCCGCTTTGCCTTTAACGTGTGGGGGATGCAGAGACAGGCCAGTGGGGTGGCAGAGGGCCAAGATGGTAACCCAGGTCAACATAGGCTGGTTAATCTGGCATCAGGGACAGGGCTCTGAAAACAGGATCAGAAATCCATTAATAAAGAATGAAAGGCAAACATGCAATTAAAATCCATCATCACAAACAGACCTGGTCATTCAGGCAGGCTCAGTAAGCCTAATGACAAAGATGCACGGCCTGGCACGGCTCCTCACGGCACGCGCAGCGTTCACCGGTAGCTGTCTGCAGTACCAGTGCTGCACGTGCGCGTCACGATTGTCTCGCTGACAGAGCTCAGCTTGTCACCGTCCTTCAGACAGGGATCTTCCCTGGGAGGTTCTGCTCAGATCACTGCTAGACCTCATGCCGTTTGACACATGCATCAGAAGCAAATCTAAAGTCACTCCTGAAAACGCTGGTGAGTAACAGCATGGTGGGAGAACACACAGAACAACATACATTGCTTGGTAAGCCAGGCCTGCCAAACAGCGTGACTTGATTTTGCATTTAGCTGCATTAACACAAGGAAGAAAATGTCCACAGCTGCAGGAAAGGGCAGGCTGTACCTCAGCTATCCCAGAAAAGGCTGAGGAGAGGCCTGAAGCTTAGCTCATCTGTTGCCAAAAGGGTTAACACAGTTTTTGAGGGTATAAACAAAGAAGTGAGTGAGAATGTCATGCCTTCTGTATAGAGAAGGGAGACACATCTCAGTGTCCGTTCTGATGTCCCTTCCTAAGTGTCAAAAAATGGGAGGTCCAAGACAAAAACGTTATGGAAATCCTGGAGAAAGTTCTTGTAGGGAGAGACTTAAACCAGCCCTGTCTCTTCAGCTTATGGAGAAGATAAACAGGCCCCTTTGTTATGATGCAAACATGTTCAGGGAGAAAAGGCGAGATACTAAAAGGCTTTTTATTTTGCAGGCAGAGTAAGAAGGAACAAAGGCTGGAAGCTGAGGACAGACAACTCAAAGCGGAAAAAAGGCACATGCTTGTTACAATAAGGGTGAGTAACTATTGGAACAAATTAGCAAAGAACTTGTGGTTTAAGAGCACTTATATTTAAAGATTATATTTCATAAAACTTTTTTTTCTGATTAGCGGTTGTAAGCCCAACACGTGTGACTCAAAACACCCTGGCACTGTGGTGGAATTGTGGCCATTCACACCAGGAGGAAGTAGTAGTTGCCTTTCTGGTGGCAGCTGTGATGACTAGTTTAGACCTAAAAAAAATAAATCCCTTAAAAATAAAAAGCAAAATAAATGCAATTGTTCAGGATTCAGACAATGCAAAATGACTTCTTTCAGGCAATTAATTGGAATTTTACCTAGAGGAGAACTTGCTGTAGTGGCAGGTAAAACATTTTAGAGGTTTCTGGTTTAGCTGGAGAACCATAGAATCATTCAGGTTGGAAAAGACCTTTGAAATCACCAAGACCAACCGTCAACCCTACTCTGCCAAGTACACCCCTAAACCATACCTCCAAGCCCCTTAAGTAGGTGTGACCTATAGATCCTCAGGAATGGTGGGCCCAATTTCCAATGGCACTAACCTGCTGCTCTCACACAATGCAATTAAATTACAAACACAAAGCGAATCAGCTGCAGCCCTTCAGCTTCTTTGAAACTGGAGGTTCGCACACATCAGGCATCCAGCAGGGAAGCTGCACACTTGCTTGATGCTACGTTTGCACAGCAGTAGTAATTTCAGAAGTTTTATTGTGCTTTTATTTTCCAGAATAAGTTAACCAGCCTCCACCCAAGAAGGCTATTTGCAGCCCTCCAGCCCTTCAAAGCTGTGAAGCAGCAGAATGAAAGAGAGTCTCTCACTGAACTCACTTGTAAGACAAGCAGCCGGTTGCTAAAAGCCCCTGCTCGTAACTTTGCTGGTGAATAACAGATATAATCGATATGACCATTTAATTGCTATCTCTACACACACGGTGTGTGTATAACAAGGATATATGGAGAATTTAAAGTACCCATAGTAGCTTCAAAGTGGTTCCATTTGTGTATGTCCTAAGGGTGTGTATGGATGTTGCAGCTGGGTGAAGCCTGGGGCACAGGTGACCAGCGGTGCAGGACTGGGGCTCAGGCTGCAGAGCGAGACAGAAGCCCAGCTCAGCTCCTGTCCCGGCCCCTGGGCAGCGCCAGCTGCTGTAGCTGGAGCCAGAGGACGGCCCGGCTCCAGGAGCAGGCTGGACCGCTTCCAGGGCCGGAACGCTTCCTCCACTCCAGGCCAGCACGGAGCCTTTGGCAGCGAGAACTGGCCCCTCTGCCCGGCCGTGCCAACGAGGGGCTCTGGGGCAGCACGACTGGGACGTACCCGAGTGCCCCAGCCCAACCCTGGGAGCTCCGGCCGGGGCGCCTCTGGAGCAGCCTGGGCCCCTTCGCTCCATAGCGTCCCAGGTTTCAGGAAAATCATAAACACTTATACTAGTCCCCACACCCTGCCCAACCCCGTGAGCCCTCCCTGAACCCGAAGAGCTCAGCTCAGGAGGCAGCGGGGTTTTACAGCTAACTAACCCCTCTGGGCCTGCCCAGCCCCTTGGGCAGGAGCACACTGCTCTCCCAGTGCGCTCCCTCGTACCCCCAGTGCCCGGGTGAGCTCAGCCCCTCTGCCTGGGTACCGGGGTCTGACACACCCAGCCTCAGCTGGCAAACCCCTCCCCAGCAGCACTGGGGCTGCTCTGAGGAGCACAATCTGTCTCTAAAACCTCCCACCCCCACACCTACCCCTTTGCCCAAACCTCGGTAGCAGAGGCCATCCAGCCTTGCACCTTACAAACGTCACTCCAGTGAAGCACGGCCCAGTTGCAGTTTCAGCACCTGGAAATCCTAGAGGCTGTTTGTTTGCTGTTATTTACTTAAGTGACATTTGAATTAGGCAGAAGACGGTAAAGGCTGCACGGGCCTCACTGCGAATCAGGGCTTCTCTCTTCTTCCGACAGTGACATTTTAACTCCCAGACTTCATACGTGCTCAGGACAGACTGGTTTACACAAACAGGTAACCACAAAGTCAAAACTAAAAATGCAGCAGGATGGAGTTAAGCAACAATCAAAAAACCCTTCCGCAGCTGCAGAGACAAAAACAAACATAAAGCACCAAGAACACCTCAGCTTGAAAGACTATCCCTTTCAGGCACATTAGTGCAAAGACTGGAGCTCTATAACTTCAGTCCTTAAGTACACACACAGAGACTTCCTGAAATAAATTCAAGACGACAACCGATAGCCAACAGACAGCCACCGCTAATTATTTAATTAAATCATGTATTGAAACCTGCACAGAAGCAACTGAAAATCTGCCTTCAGTGTAAACATTTCAGCATCAATATAAACCCCAGTTAGCGGTAATGACCAAAGACACCTCTTCTCCAAAATCTGAATGAACTACTTCAACGGCACCTCCCTATATGCAAGTACTTCAAAGTCTTCAAGGTCTAGTACACTAGGAAGATCTTTTGCACATCAACTTTAACATCACTTGTTTGCCATTATGGATATCTGTAACAGAATGAATCTCAGGTAAACAAATTTAACTAGTTTTATGGTATCATTACAGAGTGAGTAGGTATACATATATAGAGGTATGAAATTTCATTGCCTTCAGAAAATTTAATAAAAATTAAACAAGCAGTGGCATAAGGGTGGTCTGAGGTTAATTTACTGACATTGCTATAAGCAAGACAAAAAAAATAAAATCAAATGCTTCAAAATTAACATCTTGCAAGTACGTTACTGGTGGGTGGCTATAAGCACTTTTAGCAACACCACCATGGGAAGGACTCAAACAAGGCAAGAACTTCACAAACCAAACCAACAGAAATACCAGCCTTTATTACAAAGAAAAAATATACCACAGACGAGGTTGGCTTGTTTCCATACTTGCTGTCAGCCACATCAACTTGCTGAGTGGAGCAAGTGCTTCTGCTAGATTCATTAGTTCCCCAGGACTCCGTCCTTGGTGTGCTGGCTGTGGCTGGGACAGGGTTCCTTTTCTCCACATTAGCTAGCACGGGGTGTATTTTGGATTTGTGCTGAGAACAGTGTTGATAATACAGGGATGTTTCTGTTACTGCTGAGCAGCACTGACACAGTTGAAGCCTTTTCTGCCTCTCCCACCACCCCACCAGCAAGTGGGCTGGGGGTGCCCAAGGAGCTGGGAGGGGACACAGCTGGGACAGCTGACCCAGGGGCTATCCCATACGATACAGCATCTTTCTCCCATAAACCTGGAAGAAGAGGAAGGAAGGAGTGGGATGTTTGGAGTGAGGGTGTTACCCAAGTAACCACTACGCATGACAGAGCCCGGCTTTCCTGGAGATGGCTGAGCACCTGCCTGCTGAGGGGAAGCGCTGAATGAATTCCTTGTTTTGCTTTGCTTGTGCACGTGGCTTTTGCTTTACCTATGAAACTGTCTTTATCTCAACCCAAGAGTTTTCCTCACTTTTACCCTTCTGATTCTCTCCTCCGGCCCCCCACAGGGGAGCAAGCTAGCGGCTGCGTGGAGCTGAGTTGCCGACTGGGGTTACACCACGACGCTTGGCTACAGCTGGGTGAGCGTTTTGATTCAACTGACCTGCTGGCTAGAATTTTGTTGCCAGCACTGAATGGGCCAAAATAATGAACCTGACTGTTGGATAACCCAAACACCGCAAGGGAAGAAAAAAAAATAAATAAAAAAATAAATCACACAATAGACACAGTTATCACTAAGAAGTCAAATGACTTGCTTTACATCCACATTGCAAATAATTTCACAAGCAGGGAAATGAATATGCTCGAGTCTTATCTTCACTTGGGGAGCGTGAAGAATGTTTGCCGAATCCTTTTATTGGTAGGTGCAAGCACACGGTCACAAAGCCTGGAAGCCAGCAGAGCTAGATTGAATTCATGTTATCTATTGTTGTTCGGATTTTGAACAAAATTGATGGAATATGAACCAGTTGATGAATCCTGTTTTATCTGGAAATTTTCTGTTGACAGGCCAAAGGGGCGGAGAACCAAATTCCCAAGATCCTTCAGTTTTCCTACAATGAAAAAGAGAGAGAACCTGTTAAGTATTAAGCAGAGGGAAAACTCCCACTGAGTTAGGCCCGTCCACACAGTCCAGCTCTACTAATTCAAGGTAAACGCTGTGGAAATATCTGCCGTTTGCTGAATATTTAGGCTTCCAACATGAATTTTAAAAAATCCCAGTTGTGATGTAGTTACTGTCAAGCTCTGGGGCTGAAAACAGGTCACCTGATGCTGGTTCTGAACAGTTTGTCAGGCAGCCCTGACAACGAGCCAGTGCCTGCAGACAGTCAGGCTATGTGGTTACAGCTATCCAGAAGCACCTTATTTCCTCAGTTATACGCTCTTGAGGCACAAGAGTTTTAAGAGCTCACAACAAAGTACTGGCCTCCCCTATACTTAACTCTTGGATATAACTGGAGCTGCCAACATTCAGTCTTCTCACACAAAGGTTTCAGTTCTGCTCAATTTTGCAGCAGCTACAGCTCTACAATCAATCAAGAATATTGTAACTGCCCAGTTTCCTAAACTACCAAGAGACACAATGAAACACAAAGTTCAAACTGCTCATTTGCAATTATTAAAAATCCCTTTCTAAATCTATATATTGATATAAAGAAAAATAAAACACATGAATCCTTGCAACTGTGTTTGCACCTGCAAACTAAGCAGTTCCATCTGAAGCACACAACTTTACAAATGCAAAAAACCTCAGCGTGATGATGTCACGTGACATGTCATTATTAACTCACTTGCAAAACTAGTTCTCCACTTAGCACTGCTAAGAGCTCGAAACAACTATTATTTAACAAGCATTGTTAAATATACAGAGGGTATGACAGTTAGTAACATCTAAAGGCTTCTATCAATAGAGACGTACCACACATGCTCTCTGGCTCTAGAACATGAATCTCGCTACCACCTATAAAAGGGGAAGGGCAGCAAAGGGATATCTTTTTAAAAAACCTTATCTATATAGAGAAGAGAGAATAGATAAAACACGTAAAACCAAACAAGAAGCAGAGGTAAGAACTTCAATGTTGGCTAAACACAAGCTAACTGAGCCCCTGGCATGACAAGACAAAGGAGGAAGATGGTCTGTTTTCCAAGAAAAACATTATTTTCCTCCTGACTGCGATGCAGAATTGTAGACTGATTTCCCAAAGAACAAACAGAAGTTTGGACAAGTTGAAGCCTACCCTAGGTCTGCATCCACAGGCTACACACCACCTTTCAAAAAGCATTCTACCTTCACTAGATTCTTCAAGGCAACAGATTTTGTTGTGCTGGGAGTTTCGCACGTGCACACGGCAGGGGAAAAAGCGACACGGGCGCTGGCACGCAGGAAATGCAGCTGAGCAGCTGAAGTCGTCACAGTCACGTAACTAAACCACGCAAATGCCACACCTACTCCTGCTTGCACGCGTGTGCTTTCAGCAAAGCCATCTTAACTCGTGAGAAACATCTCTTATTCTAGTCATCCTCACCGGTATTTCTATTTCTAAACTAACATACTGGAATCTAAGGGCAGAGACACGTGAACACTTATCATTTAGCTTCTTCGCTTGCTTCCTTAGTTTGGAAACGCTGTTTCTGCCCAGCAGCGCAAGCCTCACTACTGCTGTTCGTAACTCCCCTCACGACAATGCACCAGCCAGAATTTCGTCCGGGCTTTGTTGCTAAGCCCTACTGAAACGGTAACTTTGCAGCAGTGATAAAGCAGCAGAGAAACCTCCGGAGCAAAGCCCTGCGTGAGTTCTTTGCAGAAGAGACAAGCAGTACTTATGTTGCACAAACGGAGCACCCACAGACGAAGAGATTTAGCCTGGCGTGACACTGCAGGCCTGTGACCGGGCTCGAAGCAGAAACCGTGCCCAAGCCTGAACCCATCCCAGAGCAGCATGCCCCTGGTCTCGTACGATCCGGCAACAGTTAAACACCACCCCCATAAACCAAACTGCGCTGATTTTTCAATCGCATTTCCAAAATGGAGTTGGAGATTTTTTGAACACAATCACAGAAAATACAAAAAGAAACAATAGCTGGGGAAAACTGTAAACATTTTATTCTAAGGAACAACTCAGTCCTGCCCAAAGGAATTAACAGCATTACTATGGTACTGCTAAACATGCCAAAGCAATTAAGATCTTGCACCAAAGTACAGGTTCACAACTGAGTATCTTTCAGAGATTTGTGTAATTGTTTTATAGCAAGATTGGTCTTTGAGAGTCAACATGGAAATTCCGTGGCCTTACACAGGATAAAAGACAACCTGTTGGGCTTTTTTTAAGCTACCCCCTGTTTAAGCTGAGTTAACTACGAATTTCATAAATTTTAGACTGCATCCTAAAAGCATTTTGGTTATAAAACTGTGAAGTTGTTCATAGCATCTCTGTGACTGGGATGAATAGTTGCTATTGTACTTCTAGACAAACATTTGGTCATTGCTTAGCTTCAGGTTTCGTGTGAGAAGTGTCTTTGTCTACTGGTGGAAGAATCCTGGTGTAGTCTGGCATCGCTAGAGTCAGTTGTAAAGAGCTCACAAGCCACCCGGCACGGCAGCTGGCGCAGGAGCCGGCAGACGAGTTTGCCTGTTTCCGGAAACTGTGAAAGGTCTTTTCTAATCGGAGTTCGTACAGTGGCTCTTCCCGGTCACGCTGGAGCCAATAAACACAGAACAACTGCCTTGGTATTCCTGCTTGTAGCTAGGCCAGCTCCTTGGGAGAAGCTAAAGGCCATACGATACATTTAATACTTTATTCTCATCTCACTGGGATTGAATAATTGATACAATACAGCCATAGGTCACCCTCCTGTTCTATCACTTAAATCCACATACAGCAACGCCTTTTGGTGCAGCCACATTCAATAAATTGTTAATGAAACAGAAGAAAGCCTTGCCTCTTCCGGGAACTCAAGCCCAAAGCACCGCTCCTGCTGTCTTGGCGCACATAAACCCATCACTGTAGGAAAGCACTACTTCCTCCTCCCCCGCTCTCCTTTCATCCCTAAATTAAGATCTGTAGTTAAGTCCAACCTCCCCCTCCCCCCAGAGAAAAGCTCTCTTAAACAGAGACTGTGCTTGAAGGAAGGAAAAAGGCATGTGGAGCTGTGACTCAGCTGCAAAGAGTTCTCAGCAATTAAACACCCACTTGTCCCAGAGCAGGGTCACATTCTCCTCTCAGACTGTATTTTCATAAATCTTGTTCTTTATATTTTAGAGAGCCTATGTCCGCTTTTCACCTGGAACTCCAACATGTTGTTTCTTCAGCAAAGCAATATTCAGAGGTTAACAAGAAAGCTAACTAGTAAAAAACGACTTAGGGCTCAGAAGTCTGTGATTTGTTACTCACCTAAACTGCAATGTAACATCCTACTGCGAAAGGCAGATGCACAAAAAGATTTCTCGCAATTTACATTGATGTAACAGCCCGAATGAATTGCTATTCAGTCTTTCTGGCAATACTTCTAGTCTAGTCACTAGTGTTAATGTGGTGTTTGGAAGCTAAAAAGCTAGGTACTGTTTATGTTAAGATTTTTTTTTTTGATAAGACAAATTTCCTGATGAGGCCTGATCTTTGTATAACTTTCTGTATTACTGACATTTCTCAAGCAACTAAAAGAGCAAGGGCAAATCCTTTTCCCTTCCCTAAACGGTAAGTGAAGACTGAACCAAAAGTAACTGCGTATTAGCTCTGGTTTGAACTATTTAAAGTGACCTCCCTGTATACAGTATTGGGCTTTAGCAGATTACTTGCAAATACAACATACACTTCAGTATAAAAACCCCACCTAATTCTTTAGGCACTAAGCCTAATAAATGTCTTTGCTGATCTCAAGTAACTGGAAAAAATCTCTTCTTGGCAGAAAGGCCCAGGTGATATGCTCTGATAGGCCTTCCCATTAATCACATTGATAATCAAGTACATCTCACTCTTTTCTGGAATGCACTCATTTATAACTTAAGCTCAAAGTCTCAATAGTTTTTAATTAGATTTGATGAAACCTGTGTGTATAAAATAGGTTACACAGATTGGCATGTATTCCATCCCATTTTTTTTTTACATCCAATATACTTGTCTCCCCTGTAGCAACACAGAAAACTGTATTATCACAGCCCTCAAGCTGCTAAACCTTGCTAAAACTATTCCGAACTTCCCCTCTTCTCACACCCTCTCCCCAAAGGAGATGGTTCTAGTTATCACAATAGTTATAGTTTCTCTAAACAAGACTAGCTTGTTGCACAATAGCTGGAAATCTTTGGCTTTAAAGTCAGAAGAGAAATAAGAAAGAACACAGAAAATGGTCAGGTTCACATCTTGGGCAATTACTAAGGCAGAGGACGCTGACGTTATGAAGCATAAAGGCAAAGAACCACGTGGATTTAAAAGCTACTTTCAAAGTCTGCTAAAAGTTCAGCTTTCTTTAATGTGAAACTCAGAGGTTAGTTCATACCAAGCATAATTCAGTGGCAAGTGGCAACACTAACCTGCAAAGGCTGAATGGAAAATAGAAAAATAATTTAAATACAAATGTCAGCTTTGGAAAAGTTAGACCCTTTCCAAACACGCAGCAGAAATGGCCTTGGTTTGGCAACAAAACATGCTTTTGTTAGTGACATCAACTTCATCGATCACATGCGCTACCACTTGCACACCAGAGTTCATGGGTAGGTAGTCTGGAAGAAAAATCCAGCCAAGAATGCGTACTCTGATTTATTTACACGCAATCACTTAGGAAGTGGTTTCAGTTTCTGACAAAGTATGTGGTAATGAGCTGTAGCACTGGAAAACAGGAAACACGCTTGGGGAAGGAGGAAGATGCACTCCATTTATTTTGGTTTGTTTGTACACAGCTCCAGTTTTCATGACAGTGTCAGTCAGCTGGGTATACCAGGATTAAGCTTTAGTTGAAAGAATAAAAGCCTAGAAAAACAACGTTACTGGCTGATTCATTGACTAAAGTAGGAATTAAATTCAATACTCAAACTTCAAAGGAGCCAAAGCACGACCTGTGACATTTTTTCTGAAGATTTTGTTGGTGATTAAGTTTAGAGTTAGTGCTCCTGGACCAGGCCTACCCTGGAACTATTAGGATGCATCGGACTTGCTCTCCTGGAACCAAAAAAATCTGGGGTACAACCCAGACACCTGAGCTGACTCCCCCGTGAGAAGGCAAGAATGAATCCTTGCACGCCTGGCACTGTTTAACCAGTAGTCACGTAACCTCCTAACAGATGACCACAAGCGATTGTCTACCCTGACACAGTTCTCAGTTGGTAAATAGCATTAACAAAGAAAAGTTGAAACAGCTTAAACCAAATACATTGTACAAAACCAGTCCAAAGAAATTTCTCAACCACTGCGCTATAGCAAGTTTGGCCTTCGCTCCTTCCAGGATTCTCATCTAATCCCTCTTCTTCAATTGCAAGGCTTTTTCCTTGACCTCAGACAGAGCAGCAGCATTTCGTAAACCTTGGGAAGGATTTCCTTCCCAGGCCTCCATTGTTAGATCCATGACATCACTGCTATCTCTCTTACTGACAAGATACAGGGAATTTTACAACTTTAAAAAAATTACTCTGGTTACTGCCCATATTCCTAACTTACTTTCAAGTGTTCTATTAAGAGAATGGAGCCCAGAAGAAAATCCTCAAATTGTGTTATGCTAGTGATCACAAGCAGTGCTAAGAATAAAGTGCCACCTGCCCAACTGACACCATATAATTTTAAGATGCATGTGACAATTTATATGAATCCTGTCACATGCAAAGGTTGTGGGTGAACACAGGGGCATATGCTGTACTACCCCACTCTTAGCCTGGTTTTCCCAGCTGTTTACACCAGTAAATACCAGTGTATCACCTTGCACGTATGTGACATCATTGAGAAGGGATTCCTTTCTCGAGAACCTACATAAACAGCTTGAATTGGTTCCCAAAAGACAAGTTCAGTTCTGAAATCCTAACTCCCTCTGGATTAACACTTTTTAAAAAGATCACATCTAGTCTGAAATCTAGGCAAAAATTAGCAGTTCAGAACGAGGTTTGTAACGACAGTTTACAGAGTGAGATTTATTGTTTCAGTACAGTCCCTTGTGATCGTTGAGGCCCTTTAGACATTGGCAACAAAGAGAGAGTTCAAAAAAGATCAGGAATTGTCTTCATATTACTTTGTGTTGAAACCTATCCCATGTCCTACAAATGGGCATGATCCTCCTGAAGATTTTCTGCATTTGTAATTTATTTATAGCACTATCACACTTAACCTTCTTTATTTATGTCTTGTTCCAAGTACAATGGTGGAAACAGAATCTGATCACGTAAAGCTCTAGAAAGCCTCGCTGCAACTTTACTAGGTCAAAACAGGCACAAAACAAGAGTAAATCAGACTCCCTGCACAACAAGAAATAAAATAAACATCAGCTTCAGCATAAGCCCTTGAAACAGTCTGTTCTTCCCAAATATTTTAAGAATCGGTGTTACAGTATGCAAGATTTAACCTGGTTCTCCGCAGAATAGCAAAACACTGTCTTCCCCTTTCCCATCCCAAAACCTCAAAGCCTACTCATCTAAAAATAGCATTTCATCTACTACTTGTCACACCTAGAATGAGTAAACAGATAACTATTGAAAACTATTTCTGAAACTGGTTAAGTACAGCTAGTTTCCCTTTATCTTAGACTCTCCTTGTGTGATTTTCTAAACAGTACAAATGAAAAGATTATCTAAAAATAAAAACTCATTTTAAAAAAACCCAGAAGGTCACATTGGCTTATGCAGTGTCTGAACCTATAAGAACTAACAAACCCTGTTAACTAGGAGGCAGCAGACAATGTTGACAGCAGGGTTTTTTTGGGCAGGAGGTTCCCCCCCCCAAACATTTAACCCTAACACTCCGAGTGGTGCAAAGGAAGTGCTTTATACTTAATATTTCACATGAAAACCAATCTTGCTTGGGCACATTTATTTAAGCAGTTATGCTTTTGAAATACATCAATCCAGTTAAGATATTATCCAAGCAATACCATACAACACTATGCTGGGGACACATGCATTCAAATGAGTTATATTAACCGAATTATCTTTTCTACAAACAAGTAGAGGCAATAGTATCCTTTGGTATAGAATTGTAAAACATCAAGACGCAATGAACTACACAGTTTGGAAATCTAATTCCACTCCTAGCAAGGCCAGATGCCTGTTTGTAACACTAGGCAGGTCTAATTCAGCCTCCAAACAAACAGAACTGCAATACTATACTATATAAATCAAAGTAAACATGGAGACTTGGAGGTCTATAGGTTGGAAGTGCTACAAAACACCCCCAATTTGTTTCTTCAGACACAAGATCAAACATGCTCAGGTAGTACAGCTGGTTAACTACTTCTACATAAAGGTTTAGTGAAAACCCTGTTTTATCCCTTTCACAGGAATGTTTCCTTTGAAGGTTTACTTGCAGAGAGAAAGGGCAGAGCAGTTGGTCTGTTTCAGACCATTTCCCCCTCCTTTTAGATGCATCAATATTAAATTGCTTTAGGTCCTGAGTCTTCTTTCTTTAAATTTAACTAATAGCCTTTTCTGTATGCGAGAATTATTCAGCTACTACTTAGTGTGGGTGAAAACAAGCAATACAGAAGAAATCAGGAGTTTTGTTTAACATAGAATAAATATTTCCTTTAAGATTTACTTTCTTTACATTTTATGCAAAAAATTCTACTAATGCATTTTTATTTTTTTAGTAGACTATGAAGATTATTATGCAAGTTATATGTACACACTACTTACCTAACATTTCTTTCTTTAATTTTTCATTCCGCTCTTCAATTTGTCTAGGTAATCGCTGTGGGGAGAGATAAAAATTGGAATCAGACCCATGCTTTCCATAATACTGTAGGTTACGCTAACGGAGTTTTCATGGAGATACCCAGGATACACTCTTTATGGCTTAAAAGGAATCCTTATGTCAAACCACACTTTCATCTTATTTTGGAAACCTGTAATTCATCCTATGACATCAGTTCACATAAACAGCAAGTCGTAACTTCTAAGTGTAGGTTTCATATAGGCATACATTTTTACTGCTGAAAACCAGATCTGATCTGTGTGCTTGGAATTTTAACTGAAAAGCTGATGGAATATAAGAGACATACAATTAAAAGTCTATTTTAGCCCTATTTCCTCTGCCGCATGCATTAAATTTGGTAAGAGAGGCTAGAAGAACTAAGCAAGCACAGCATTTGACATCTGAAGGTAAACACAGGTGTAATGAGGAAAACATCCATAAGGTCAGTTCTCAGTGGCATCACTGGGAAATCCTCACTGTGAAAACATGAAGACCTAAATACAAACATTCTGTCAGAACATCGCTGAATTCACTGTGTATGAACTTCAGGACATAGTTTAATGAGCAGCACCTTATTACGCAATACGGTTCTAAGGAGGCAAGGGTATTATAAATGAGGGCCTTGATCTGGCAGCTCAGCACCGGGAGGAAACTCCAACAGTTCCTCCTGAGCGAGGTGCTAGTCCAAGGAACGCTTCATTACCGTGCTTCTTCCCTTCTCAGAACCAGCACCACTGTTCAGATCTGTTGCACCTTCACAAACTAACTTACCACTTTTCTAACGAGCATTATACAAGTGCATGCTCTACGCATTCCTAACGATTCGAGACTCCCATTTATGCCCAGAACAGCTGTGACACCTTCCACCCTTACAGAGTGTTGGTGTTTTGCTATATGGTTGTAATGATAATTTTTAATTAGAACTTTATTTTCACTACAACTAAATTTCCCACTGTATCATTTAAATTTTGCATTTTCTATACATCAGTTAAATACAACATTAAAACAAAATACATTACGAATGACAGTCACTTTTTGTACCTCTTTGTATTTTTCAGAAGTACTATTTCAAGCTTTTATGCTACGCTTATTAGTGTATAATTCTGGCAGTTCAGCATGCAATTATATGCATAACTATGCTGTCTCTTCTCGTGGAGGTCAGAGCAAATAAGACAGATCTGCTGTAATGGCACTATCAGTAAATTAATTACAGTCGCAGACTCTGGTAACAGGTGTGGAATTCACTCCCGATACACTTCCCTTGGGGTAATTGGCTTCTGAACATAGTTAAAGAATTCATTTCCTAATCTTGTTCCTTCCTGTCATTTACAGCTCCAGTCATCATGGATAGGTTTGTCATCCTGATACCATTGCCACAGTGAAATTAGATGTTCACCTCAAGAAAAAGCCCATTGACAAGGCTGCTTGGCTACTCCTCTTCAATGCAGGATGCGCTGGTGAATGAACACAGGCAAATACTGTTCATTTGCTACAGTGATGGGGAAGAGAGGTGGTATACCCCAGAAAAAGACCAGAAAAATGAGTACTAAGGAAGAGAATGCAGATACACATGGATGGCTAAGCTTGAAACCAGCCCAGGCCCAGCATCACCATCAGTGAGCCAGATCTAATTAGCCCAGTCAGACCTCATCTGACTCCTGCTGACCCAGAGGGGCTTATTAAGTTGGGTGCAGATCTGGACCTAAGCTGCCTGCAGGAAAACATGTGTGGATATCCCCAGGCTCTAAATTCAGTTTGGATTTGCTGAACCTTGGATGAGTTTGGCATATATAGCATGCGTGTCTCACATTTGGATATGAGGCTTTCGTAGGAAATGAAGACACAAATCCTTGATCTGAAATACATGCTCCATATTTTGTCTGCCTGAATACTACTGTTCCAAAGACTCAGCATTTCTCACTCCAGAAATGTATTTGCAAGGTTAGTTATCTATAGAAACGTGTCTGTAAGGACAGCTATTTACCTCTGGTGTCTATAATACTTATCTCAAAGTACAGCTTCTTCCAGTAAATAAGTTTATCTGGCCTGCCAATCCCTCAAAAACTGCGTTGAAGCTAAAATTCACTCAACACTGTTACACACCTGCTAAAAAAGAAAACCTGAAGATTGATACCATATAATTAAACATTTTATGGGAAAGCATCAATAGGGATTATTCGACCACAAAACATTATCATTTCAAACTTTTTGATTTGGCATTGAAGATGTCAAAGACAACTAAAGTGTGTGACACTAGGATATAAATCAAAACACTAGCACTGTATTCCTGAAATAGAAACAGTACTGAAATTTTACAGCAGCTACCAAATCAGGAATCAAAGCAAAGAACTACTGTGTATTTAATATTTGTAAACTGTCATTTAACAAGATCATGACATTCCCTAAAGCAGTATGTGAAATATTTTCCATGTATAGGAAGGAGAAGCATTTGCTCGAACACTGAATGGAGCTAATTTTCAGATTCTCTGAAACATCATTTTCGTTACCAGTGAGGGGGAAAAAATGCTGCGATATTTCTGCAAAGAGTAATGCACTTTACCTTACACTACAGCAAAGTCTTTTTAGTCTCCTACATATTAGATATGTTAACCATATATGTGGAGTCAACGTTACAACTGGAATTGGGTTTTTTTATTATTATGAAATTTAGAGCTTTATTATGAATATTTTTAAAAGTGTAAAACTAGCTGTCAGATTTTACTTAACAATTTTTCAAGAGAGGAGTTTTAAGCTTCAGTCTCAAAAGATTGCTTTTACCCTGAAACTTGACAAAGAACAGGACCAACTCAGGGCAGAATGTCCTAAATCCCACTGCAGTGTAAATTAAGGGCATTTTGTACAATGTGTTCTGCACCACATGTGAGCCTAAAGCCTCTGCCTAGTAAAATGAGGTCAAGGAGCAGAAGGTACATGTAACAGTCAACCTCGGTACTTCCTAGCTACAAAAATTAAGAATAAATTACAGATCGTTCTAAAACATTCCTGAGAAAGGGTCAAGGAAGAACAGCAGCGCTGTTTATGATTATCTTGTAGCCCAAATCTCCACTGGTTACTGAGCAAGGGCTCTTCTGTGAGGTTATCGGAGGCATACTCACTGAAAGAAAATTGTTTTGCAAGAGGTAAACAGCACAGTATCTATACTTTCAGGGCATTCCAATCAGCTAAAATATATCTATTTTGAACTCCATACGTTTTGTACCAACTACTGACAGCGTTCCCAAGTCTTAGATACTGGGAAGAAGTTCTTCACTGTGAGGGTGGTGAGGCACTGGCACAGGCTGCCCAGAGCAGCTGTGGCTGCCCCCTCCCTGGCAGTGCTCAAGGCCAGGCTGGATGGGGCTGGGAGCAACCTGGTCTGGTGGGAGGTGTCCCTGCCCATGGCAGGGGGGTTGGAACTAGATGGTCTTTAAGGTCCTTTCCAACCCAAACTGTCCTGTGGTTCTATAATCTATGGAGTCCTGACTGGTGGTTCGTAACAATCTGATTTTCACAGTTCTTTGTATGACAAGCTGCTGAAATGCACTCCTTTATACACTAATGCTATTTTACCAAGTGACTGGCTAGATCACACTAGGCCTCACTCTGGAGCTAGACCAATGCTAAAAGACTACAAGCTACAGAAACGCCAACTCCGTCGCTTCCTTCAGCAGACTCCTTGGCTGAATTCCTGGATCAAATAAACCATAGTCTCAGCTAAGAGATTATACACAAGGCCAACACATATACTCTTCTCTAGACTGTGATGGACCCATCACATTCACTACCCATGCAGTAACGATGTTTGACAAGCTTGTCATTTATTAAGCCATTGCCAAGAGCTAGGTGATAAAGTGCTCTCCTGCTCTCAACCAGATGCATGCAACAAGCATCAGCCGGTTGTTTCACAGTACAGTAAACTGACCTTGTCAGCGGGTGCTGCCAAAAGGGATGGCCCCAATTCCTGCACTGCCTTGACCACATCTTCTTTCCTTCTCAACTAGCATTTGCAGTAGGACTTGTCTGACTGCAAAAGGCCAAGGCAATACAAAAGTATTTACTTTGAGGCTTTTTGCTTGCTGGCTTGTTGCTAGTTTTCCCTTTAGCAGAGTTAGTTGTCTGCCAGATTCACATATAGAACCAGCCATCCCCAAGGTCGGACATGAGCTAGTACCAGTGCTAGCACAAAGAGAGCAACTGGACAGCTTTGTAAGCTGCAGGTAGTTATCAGGTCAGTTCAGCTGTTTTGTGAAACCATACTCTTACCACTAACAGGAGTTACACAGTTAAGCAGAATATTTTTCTGCCATCAGTGCAACTGATCTAGTCCCAAAGGAAGTCATTTCAGGCAAGGCTTCTTGTCTAATATGCTATAAAAGCAGTTTCTAATCTGTCACTTTCAACACCATAGTACAGGGAAAGGGGGGTGGGGGGGAATCACTACTAATGATTTATTTTCCCAAATGGAGAGTTAAAACAATTAAACCTAAGCCTTTCAAAAATATTTCTGCATTGACATATTTAAAGTGGTTTTAGAGATAACTTTGTGGGGGGAAGCAAATGATTTTAATTTATGGGGCAGAATACATGGCAGGTTCACTGATGTGAAGCTGAACTAAAATAATGATGCCCTTTGAAAATTTAACCTCATATAAATAAAGTCAAGTATTGGCCATAAAGATTTGGGTGCCCAAGTAAGAATTATGTTTTTAAATTGCATCCGTTCACCTTAAAATGGAAGTAAAGAGTAGTTAGGCTGTTGTTTCCCCTGCAGAAGATGGTCAGCTCTTTCCAGGCTCTCTGGTGCTTGCAAACTATTTACCTACCATGACCTGAAGCTCCGACTTTGATAAAAAGTGACCACCACTGTACTTTTTATAGTGGCTACCTTTCATTGGCACATGCTCCTTCAAAACCACACAGTGTCTGGCTACATCTCTACCACATTTGTCCTTTCAACACAGTCTTCATAACCTCTTTTCAAAAACAAGAGCAGCAAGCAGCCTGTAAGAGGAGCTTTCTGCACAAAATAAATTTCCCTCCTTGCTACCCTTGTGAAAAGACCCTTGAACTTGTCAGATCCACAGCTGTTTTCCACAATTCCCTCCTTGCTACCCTTGTGAAAAGACCCTCTGAACTTGTCAAATCCACAGCTGTTTTCCACACTGAGCATTAACATACTAAATATCACTAAAAAAATCACTTCCTGCTGGTATTTTACACAAAGAGTTACTTAAAACCTCTAATCAGCAGGCTGTGGCAGTCACTTTAAATCCCCATTGAGCAGGGATTATTTACATGTTAGATCAGGATTTCAGGAAGTGCTAGGGGTTTACCTTTTTTCATTCAAGCTGACACATCCTAAAGGGCAAGGAAGCTTTTGAAGCACTTCCTTACAGTTAGAGATATGGCAGAGATTCTCAAGAAATGTTTAATCCTGAAATATTTGTAATTTCATTGAAAGTGGTGAAAGTGGAGACAGGAACATGGTAAACTGCAGAATTTTTAATTTTTTTTTTAGAACAAAGAAAGGAACTGAATCAGAAGAGTGCTGTTTGCAACCACAAGGTGCCTTTTTCTTCAAGTGAAAGGCTAAATTTTTGAAGATTAATAGCAGACTTCAGGCACTACTTGTAAAATAACTCAAAGTGGCCAATACACACACAACGCATAGGAAAGAACAAACACATAAAACAGCTAAATCAAGGAGCAAAAATATCGACATTTTAAAGTAGATACAAACATAGATACAAACTGATAGAATCCCGTCTCTTTGCCATTCTCAAAGTGATATAATCAAGTAATCAAAAAAGTCATTATTTTATAATTATGCCATAAAGGCATTCAAGTGCAAATTTACCAATCAGAAAAATAATTCTACTGAAAGGAAACCAGACTCCCACTAATTAAGCAGCTAGCAAGAACTGTATTATAGGGTGCTTGTATTCCGATCTCCAAATTGCAGATCCGAATTGAAACGATGACTACTAAAATGCAGCAGTAGTTCAGGCAACCTTTTCTAGCCCATGCATAAATACAATTAACAGCCTCAATCAGAGAACTAGAATGAAGTGTGTGCGTGTGCGCTATTCAACAGCTAAACATGTAATTAGGGGCTTACAGCTCAGCACACATGTTTACTTTCACTCATTTTACAGAGGTATCAGGTCTGTGCTTTAAGGACCTGAGACTTGTCATGGAAGTTGTGGCAGTTCCTGTAATCTTCCTTCGTAAAACCAATGAGAACCATAGAATCACAGAATAGTTTGGGTTGGAAGGGACCTTAAGAGGTCATCTAGTCCAACCCCACTACATTTTCAGACTGAAAAAAAAGTGAGAAAACCACTACATCTTCAGACTCAGAAAAAAAGTTATCACCACTGCACATGAAGCTGCTCACATAAACAGCATTGAATATTTAGAACAGCAAAGAAAAGGCCTCGCTTTAAAGTTAGCCAAGGTATACTAGAAAGACTTACCATGCAAGCTTCTCTGGCTTGATGAACCGATGGGTCTTTTTCTAAGACAGCCTTATAATCTTCCAGAGCTTCATCTAGTTTTTCTGTTTTTTCATATAGTTCTGCTCTCCTCAGCAAAGCTCTAATATAGTTAGGATCTAATTCCACTGCTAGAAAACAAAACAAAGCACAGTATTTCACTGGAAACATTTCTACACCCCTTAAATTAATTCTTAACTGTGTATTAAATTCTTATTAGTTATCTTTATAGTGTAGCTTAGAATCAAGCAGAGTCATAGTTTAAAAGCTAGGTCATAGTTCAGAAAAGGCACACATCTGCCTGTGAAAGTCTAATGCAAATTATCATATTTCATTTCACATCCACAATCCATCACAGAGAGAAGTGATTCATAATGTACAAACATTTAATTTTGCAATAGTGTATATGCAGAGATTCAAGTGATGCTTTAAAGGACCTGTAAGATGTTTTTCAGCTTCTGTATATTTAATAAGAGTACATGATTACCTTACAGCTGAAGTTAGATACGCTAAAGATATACATAGCAGGGAAAATAAGCATTTCTCTGCTTATCTCAGTTCAACTTCAGACAAACTCCAGGAGACCTACTGGTGTTCTGAATTTAGTATCAAGCAGTCAAAATTGGGTTGGGAATCCAGAAATGGTTATAGTAGCTCTACGAGTTAGCAGAGGGGCGTTACTGATCAAATTTAAGCTTTTCCTCTCCTTATTCCCATGGCAGCCATGACCATGTTTACAGAGGCAGTTAAGACTGTACGCTAAACTTAACAGTAACCTGCAAATGGTAATTTCTCAAGAATTTCTTCATCCATTTTTCATCATAGAAAGAGAGAGTACAAAAGACTGCCCATTTTATAATCACTAACCCATTAAAATGGTTCTTGGGCCAATTAAATCTAGGATTATCTAGCTAAATATTCCACCTTATTTCTTGTCTATGTCCTGGAAGGACAAAGACAATGCTACAGTCAGCAAGTTGCAGGTTAGTGTGAATTGCTCTGCTGTGCTTCCAGTGTTGCATTGCAGTTTGTAAGCCAAGTCCCTGGGGAGTGTCAAGCGATGGTAGGTTTAAGTCTCACTGCTGCAGAGCAGACTGATTCCCTTTCAGCCACTACAAAATTAGCAGAAGTGTTTTTTCAAAGTGCACCACCCCCAAAACAAGTGACAGAGGCCAGCTAGAATTTGTTACCTTCCAGAATACTCTTACCTTGTACAAACTCATATTTACTGTACAAGCAGTACTGGCACGCAGCCATTGGATTAGTTTTCTCATTGGTAATTTGGACTTTTTTCACCAGCTGTCATGGGGAGTTTAACAAATACTCGAGCACGGGTGAGTGGGTGGAAGCAATAAAGCAATGCACAGCAGAAATGATTTCACCAGAAGTTGCAGAGAAAACTATGCAGGCCAAGAACGGGAGAGCGTAAGCCCTCGTGACAAAGCAAAAGCCTTGCATAAAAGGGACTTGATAACACTTTTAATTCTACAAGGCCCCACGGTTCTTTGGAATCCGGGATTAAACCAAGATTTTTGGGGGAATGGCAGGTGGAAGTGGGTTTAAAACAGTAAGTGTAACGGAACAGCTTCCATGATAAAAAGATTTTTCTATTACAAAGAAGTATAAACAGCAGCTTTATTAGCACAAGAGTATAGAAAGTGAATTACTACAGACAGGAAAAGATGGATAGACATTAAAAAAATAAATAATGTAAATTATTATAGATTCAGGTGTCTTCTATCACAGCTTTTCTTTAAACTCTTTAAAGTCCCTTAAGCAGAAAATTCCAGCTCTGCAGTAAGGCACTAAACGGCATAATTTATGCATGAAAGAACTGGCACAAGAGCAGCACAGAAAAAAAAAAAGCCATACCTTTGCTGCAGTCACTTAGGGCAGCTTCGGTCTTGTCCTAGAACACAAACCACTCGTGTTATATTTAAGTCACATTTCTTGGGAAACTGATATTTACTCTTGCAAGCAAAAAGGTCTGTCTGGCATTCCAAGGAACTGGGATGCTCATGTAATCAAGGCTTTTCATACCATTGCTTCTGATGAAAAGCTCTTTACCAGTGATTAGCTTCCTCTCTACGGCGAAGGCTGGCAGGGTTCAGACTGCATGGCTGCCCAGCCAATGGCTCTGTACTGAGCAGCGGCAGCGAGCTGCAGGCAAAAGGCTGAGTCACATCTGCAGGCCTTGGCTTAACCCAGCTACAGCGCTTCTACCTTTGTCAGTTACGGGGCTGGAATAGATGGTTCCCACGAGTCCCAGATAAATTCTCGTCCGTACGAGCTACGACATGCGGAAAGCAGATACTGCCTTTAGCCTAATAAAGCTTTCTCTATGAAGGACAATGCATGAGACCTCCAGAAGATTTTAGTGCACCCAGACAGCCATAGTAAGAAGATGAGAACCAGGCAATCTGCTTACAATGATACAAGAAAAAAAGCAAAGGAGCTGAGACACAGATCCTGTTTCATCCAAACTAAAAGGGTTTTAAAAAAATTTAAAAAATCAGGCTGTTCTGTGCTGGTATTGTTGATCTAAGTAGTAGTAATCTTTCTACACCCAAAGAACAATTTTCTCCTCCATAAAACAGAAGCTGTCTCAGAGAAGATGCCTCTCGAGCTTTTATTGTAGTGCAAAGCCGGTACGGAAGAACAAACTTAATTGGGAAGTTGTTAACAATATGAATCTATCTTCAGAGTAATGTAGTGGTCTGTCAGGTTCCACTGATCTGTACCCGTGAGATACACTGGTTTGTGCACAGTTCTTTTATCAACTTGGGCTCCTTTGGGGACTACTGAATTACTTTCCCAATGATATGAAAAATTAACATCTGGATTATGAGGAGGTTAATCAGTTTACAGCTTTCATATTTGAAAGGTTCCAGTATCTGTTATTACAGATTTTATTAAATTTTTTTCCTTGTCTGCTCAAACAATTCAGTATCCCCACAGCCAGTTAGATAACCCTAGCCTAACAAGAACGCTCTACGCCGAGTAAAAACTTATTTACGCCTAAATATGGCTGCAAGGTACATTTCTAAACAGAGCTGCATCTGTCTCAATATTGGAGGAAAACTGCAAGAAAATTCCCTTTGCAGGAGGGAAAACTGAGGACAGGAGTTACTGTGCTATTTTTCTATAATAATGTAATGTTAAAAACAAAGGTAGAAATAGGGAGTATTTCTCCTGAATTCTTAGCATTTCCCCTTTCTAAAGAAGTGAAAGTTTCTGTTCAGACAGACTGGATTCTACGCCTTCCATGCTACACAAGTATACTGCTGACTCTGATAACAGCTGGGCACCTGTCCCTGGTCAAGGAACAGAAAACACATGAAGCAAGCTGCAGCCATTCTCTCCAGACTGTGCCCTACTATATAGGCCTGTCCTACTGTACAGCAACTGTGACGGAAGCAGACTAACGGAATTAATAAAGCCATAGTTAGGAAGTCCTGCTTATGCCCCAAAGCATTTGAGCCAATTAAATGAAGACAAGTATATGACAATCCAGGCTTTTAGAAAAACCCCTAACTAGCTACAATTCAAAACATTCTAACACATGGTCTGCATACACTAAACATGCTTAAAAACATCTGTTCCACATGAACTTTGAATTTCATTAAAATAGAGAGAATGAGAGAAGAGTTTTAAACATAATGCAGCAGAGCAAGTTTGAACAGCTGTTCCAACTGCAACTTTCAGGTTTGTATTCACCCTCAGTAAAACCGAGCACACCAGCATTTCTGCTGGAAGCATGACAGACTGAGCAAGCAGCAAAACCTGCAAACAGCTTTATTCCTTTGCCCTCCTTTATGCACTCCTAACGGCTTCATTATTGCATTTGTCATATAATGGATACATGCTGTTTCAGAAAATAAAAAGAATATTCACCTGTTTCATTTTTGCAGCAGCTCTGTTTGAAAATAAAACAGCCCTATCTTTTTGGAAGCAGGCTGGACAAATCTGGAGAGCCTTCGTGTAAGAGTCTTCTGCCTCTCCATAGTCTGCAGATGCAACAGCAAAGAAAAGCAAAACCGTACAGTCAGTGAACCACATGGCTAAGATTTCTTTGGAAACATTTATCAATATGTAATGCAATATTAAACCAGTAGCTGCTCTCAGCTGCTCAGCAGTACACAGATCAATGACAATTATTTTAAAATCAACACCCTTGTAAAAGCAGAAATATAGTCTGGAACTTAATGTAACAAGAGCAGCATGATGTGCATATAATTCTCATCCCTGAAATGATTTCATTTATTTGAGTACCAGCCTTAGAAGTAGAATCACTTTAGGTTAAGCGAATCCTGAAAGGAAGCATGTGCTGAAACACATCACTGCATTGGTGCCTGTTCAAAGCAGCTATGGAGATATTTTATTTGACACATCACCTTCAATACCCGACTTAAAGGTCGTCACCACAAAGGCATTATCACTCGAAGGCCATCCGCCATCACGTCTGGTCTAACGCAAGGACCAATGGTAAACCACACGGGATTATCAAGTTATTCATTTTCTAATAAAGGTAGAGTCAAGACTGAAAAGGCCCTATACTGACTGAACAATGCCCTGCCAGCTGACAAGTGCACTGTCCTCAAAACAGAGCAATTCTTTCTGTGCACATTAGTGGGTGACCATCCAGGTGCTTAAAAAGTTGTGTATTTCTGATTAGTAAGCACTTTGGCAGGCACAGGCACACTGAAAAGTTCTGCCAAAGAATTTGTCAAGAAAAGGCTATGGATGAGACTTCAGAATAAGAATGATTCAGCCAACATTACAGGCTTGTTGCTTTCACAGTCCGAGCAGTTCCCTTCTGCCTGCTCTGATGCTTGCCTGAATCATTCCCCAGGAATCTTGCCTTCTTAGCACACAATAAGAGACCTCCAACAGGAAGGCCACTGTCTGGTTATCAGGGTATATTTCTGGGAAGTTACTTGTTTTGTGTCCCTGCTGACTGAGGAAAGCATGAATCTGCATTTCCTGGCTTCTTTGTGAAACCTCTGCAGGATTCACCAGAACATTAAACAAAAGGTAGGTGTCAAAATCACTTCTCCCTTTATGTTTTTTAATTAAAGCACTGGTACAGTTATTTATTACTGACCTCAACCCTGTTGTTATGTATTAACTATGTTCAGAAATGTCCAGTTCTGGCATAAGCTAGAAATCATACAGAATCACAGAATGGTGGTGGTTGGAACGGACCTCTGGAGATCACTGAGTCCAACTCCCTGCTAAAGCAGGTTCACCTACAGCAGGTCGCACAGGATCGTGTCCAGAAGGGTTCTGAATATCTCCAGGGAAGGAGACTCCACAACCTCCCTGGGTAGCCTGTTCCAGTGCTCTGCCACCCTCAAAGTTTCTCCTTATGTTGAGGTGGAACTTCCTGTGCTCCAGTTTATTCCTGGTACTCCTTGTCCTGTCACTGGGCACCACTGAGAAGAGCCTGGCCCCATCCTCTTGACACCCGCCCTTTAGATATTTATAAGTGTTGATAAGGTCCCCTCTCTGTCTTCTCTTCTCCAAGCTAAAGAGCCCCAGGTCTCTCAGCCTTTCCTCATAGGAGAGATGTTCCAGTCCCCTCATCATCTTCATGGCCCTGCACTGTACTCTCTCCAGTAGCTCCCTGTCTCTCTTGAACTGGGGAGCCCAGAACTGGACACAGTACTGCAGATGCGGCCTCACCAGGGCAGAGTGAAAGGTCTGTGTTTTCTATGTCAAAGGCTAAGAGCATTCACGTCAACCTCACTTGTGCCAAGAGTTCTGTTAAGATATTCCTCTAGATTATTACTTTTTTAATATATGTATGTGTATGTACGTGTATATCTCTAGATATACACACACGTATGTGTGTACATCTCTATATACACATATGTATATACATGCATGCATATATGTATATAGATGGACATGTAAGTGCACATAGATGTACACATATGTATGCATATGTATGTCTGTATATACACCTAAACACATATACATGAATAAAATGTGTAACAGATAGAGTCCATGGATAAAAAGAAACATGCAAATGTGCAAAGGTATGAGAGATCTACCGAGCCACCGAGTCCTGCATCAATTCTAAGCACACGCATAAGCAAAACTCAGAGCCCAGCAGAAGCCTTCCTTAATTAGTAAAAGAAACCATGGCACTTGGAAGGCAGTCAATTCTGTATCATGTTCTTGGATTTAAACACTTCGCTTCCATGAGAATCCTGCTTTAGTAATCCAAGTCTTCATCATTTAAACTTAAATCTTAAGGAGGTCTGCTATCTCCTTCTGCTCTCTATAGCTAGATGAAAAATGGATAGAGACAGTAAATTTGAACAATGATAGGTGTGAGATCTTCCTATGGTTTTTTTTTGCAATATCACCATGATGGCTAAGTATTAATTTAAGATTCTCTAACATCCATAATGTGTTAAAAGATTGTCAACCCACCTCCTTTCTTGAACTGCTCATTTCCTTTCTCCTTCAACGTTGTGCTCTCCTTTCTTCTTTTCTACAAAAGAAAAGACAATGTCTCAAAGTATTTAATTGAAATGAACAAGTAGGTCAGCTGCAGTTCCAAATAAAGTATGAATGGAAATGAGAAAAAAATCCAACCTGAAGAATTTTAACTAGTACCAAGATCACTTGCTTGTAGTCATTGTGACATGATATACATTATACATCCATGAAACACTAGAGTATAACAAGGCAACTAAAAAGCTCCAGTTAATGGACAACAGTATGCAGAAAGAGCATTAATAGTGAATTACATGGTTTAAACTAATACTTTAGCTTTTTAGCTGGCTGTTTGCGCCTCCTTTCTGACTCAATTTTATTCAACCAGTGCAGGTCAACTATGTAGAATATATTTTAGATATAAAGTCTCAAAGTTTTGCTTGAAATAATTCCACCTCAGAAATTCATAGTTTCAGAGATGGACAAAGCATGTTGAGCTGACTGCGTTAGAAACAGCTCCATGGACAATACCACCCTGAAAGATTTCTTATGCAGAGAGTGACTAAACCATCAGACCCAGAGACAGGAAGATTATTCTGTTATACAGTGAAAATTGCACGTGCTGAGCAGAGTTGTGTTTTCAACCATGAATATGTTAACAGTACTCTTGGCACCAGTGAAGTTGACATGAATGCTCTTAGCCTTTGACACAGAAAACACAGGGTGTCACCAAGCCGTCTCTTCAACCTATTTACAGTGGAAACCTTTCACATGCGGACATACCTCACAGAAGTAAAAACAAAGCAGTGTAAGAAAGACACTAACATCAGGAAGCAATGCTCAAGTTCACGAATCATTTCTATGGTAGAAAAATGATCATTTGACCACTGATTTTGCCCCCAACACATATGCATACACAAAGGACTTAAATCAAGGTGTCTGTAAGTTATAGATCATTGAGCAATTAAAAAGCCAACTCCAGGAAAAGGAGCAGTTGCCTTTCCTGCAGATTGTGTAAATCAAGGATTAATGCGATTATCAATATCGCACAGAACATCTCCTTGGAAACAGCTAAATATAGTACTCTTTGTGGAGCGCTGCACCATCTCCCAGCTATGTCAAGCAGCTGACAAACAATACAAAGTCAGTGGTTCTCTCCTCTTGCTTTTACTGGTTTTGGAAAGCAATTCACCTGACCATTGTCACCATCTTAGTAAAACCAGATTGCAGACTCTGAAAACTAGGGTCATGGGAATGGCATTCAGTTGTGACACACAAAATCATGCAGTAAAATATAATCTGACCCTTCCAATAGATGCCTAGATCACTAAGTTTTTCCTATCATCTATTAAATATGTTTTCTAATACTCACTGCTCCTCATGTTTTAAAGAACCCAAACAAAACACAGGTCTTTAGAAACTGGCTTTCTTCCAGGATGGAAACCTACACAAGCCCTTCCTCAACCTCACTTGCACCAATGTACACAAGCCAGCTGGTGCTTTCTAAATACAAGCATACAAACAAATTTAAGCATTTAAGGTACAAGCCACATTAAAAGCACGAATTCTTTGCGTATACGCAGGATTCTGCTGTTCAGCACAGGAAGCACATAACTACATTTGTGAGCTGAACCACACTTTCAAAGCACCACACACAACACCTCCAGCAAGGTCACTGCCATGCACACAGCTGGCCCTCCACAGAAAGAAATTTTGAAAACATCTTGAATGCATATAGATTGAAAGCCCAACAGAAGTAATTTTGATACCAGTGAACAATGCAGCCAGATTTCAGCACAGAACAGGTTTGGAGATGATGATCCTACTGGAAAACATGAAAGATCTACACAGACAACCCTCATTCGAGAACAGAATGCTTGAAACACTAGCCCTACTGACTTCGTTGCTCATGACCTATTTAGAACTGGCCTTTAAGTGCCATTAACTGATTCACTGTTGCATAAGATAGAGTTAAAATTCTACAATACAAAAGAATTTTTTTCATATAAAATGAGAACTACAGCACGGTCACAGTACTCCTGACACAGAAACCCTAAAATCAAGGAATACTGGATGAAAAGCTTTACGGTATTATCATTATTTCGTTTCATTTTATTAAAATTATTACAAAATATGACATGTTTACCCCAGTTAAGTATTAAATATTAATATAAAAAGTGTTTTGCAGCAAGAAAGGTTCAGGAGAATAAGCTTTATATTAAAAAAAAAAAAAAAAAGAGTAAAAGAAACAAAAAAAAATCTCCAATTGTGAGATTCCTTCTCAGGCAGCCAAGAGGATTGTGACATAGACTCTCAACAGCACAGAAGACCAACCAAGGCGGGTGTATGGCCATGTTCAGTGGGGAAACACGGCCAGATGAAAGTTCTGAGTAACTGAAGAGTTTAAGGACTGGCACACTGGGAAGCTGATGATTCATACAACTCTCCTCCTCCAAAAGCCTGTTCCTTGGTACGTCCTCTTGCCTGTGAAGCAAACTGCACAGCCTTGAAGCACAGAGGACTATTAGTCACATAACTCTTACAGACATACGAGTGTCAGTGACAGTCTTGTGGTCACTTCTGACTATTTGACCAGAAAAGGTGTTGTCTAAGCATGTTTCAGAAGCCAGCAGCATTGTCAAGAACACCATATATGGGTTTGCAGCTTACTCAGCTCCCTGGAAAGCAGCAATGCAGTCCTGCTTCAAAACCAGTATTTCTGTTATAGCTCGATCACTATTTTTAAGACATCCCTCTATTACAGGTTTCAGGCTGTCCCTAAGTTCCAAACTGCACAAGTTTTCACAGTATTTTTCAAAAGGGTAAAGCCTATAGGGCACCTCTTACATCATCCTGGGTTTGCACTTCAAGTGTGACCCATAAGCGATATACAGTAGCAGACCATCCTAAAAGCAAATTCCTCTGGCTTCTCCACAAAATGTAAAAGCATATGTATTACCACATCACGTCCTAAGCACACTGCCATCTAAAGCACCTCTGTATTTGTGAAGTAAATACATCATTTATTCCTCCATATATACATTTCTTTAACAGAAAATCCTAACATAAAAGCAGTGGAAAGTCAACTACTTTGGATGAATTTACATTTAACCTGAAAGGACTGCTGCAATGGATGCTGTTAGAATCTGTCTTCTATTCAAATTCAGGGGAAAAAAACCCAGAACAATCAAAAACTAAACTGCTGTTAGGAGACATAACCTCTTCACTCAGCATGCTATATTTCCAGCTTTGATGGACAATTGTAAATAGACTGGTCATCAGTTTATTGTGATCATATCAGCCCAGAGTGAAAAAATTGCAAGTGACTTGTCCTTGGGACAAATCTTGCACACTGTCATTTCACTGTCCCCACCCACTCATTTTTCAGAAAAAGATTTAAGTAGCTGCAGGGCAGGCTACCCTTTCCTCAGCAAGGGAAGTAGGTCAGACTGAACTCCTAGAATGCTCTGCCTAAGGAAAAGATATCTTGACCCACTACATTCCCTGAGGTTGCTCATATCCAACATTGGGGTCAGGCACAACTTCCCCAACTTACACTCCATTAGGATTTTCTGCTATTCAAGGTCAGCAAATCTTAAGGTTTGTTTTTTGCAAATTTTATTAACACAAAGACAACAAATTCCAAGTGGCAGGCATTCGTTTTTGAAGTACAAAGTAAAAGAAAAATTATAAGAAATAACTACATTTAACCAGTAACATGATTCTTAGAGGATCCAATTGGAAATGTTTACAGATTTGGATACTGAATTACAGTTGTCCATATTCTGAAGAAATTAGGATCTTAAAATAAACCTGCCTGGCAAGCAAGAAGTACTGAAGATTAAGGCCTGATCTGAAGTAACGAGAAAAGACAGCTTGGCCTTTTGACAGCAAAGTACAACAATTCAAAAGCCGGGCCATCAAACACAGTCCCTGGATGTCAGCTACTCTGCCAAAAACCTCGGGGTTAAAAATAAAAGCATTAAAGCATTATTCTACTATTAGAGAAGTAAGCAACCTACACATTTTCACTGTTTCTTTTGGAAGGAACCAATATAATAAAAGTATTGGAAGTGAAATCCTTTAAATATAGCTGGTGAGAGCTGAAGGACAAACACCCTCAATTTGTAATGCTTCCAACTACGCTTCCTCTGGCTGTTCCTATCCATTTTATTTGATCAATTGATTTAACTTTGCTAGGGAACCGTTCTTGGCTCTAGTTTTGTCAAGAGCAGCAAATGTGTACTCTCTCTCCTCTGCAAGGCTACTTACACAGTGTGACAATGCACATCTGCATCTCACATACCCTTTTGTAAGGTCACCAAGTAGCTGTCAATTTAAAGCTACTGGAGTTCAAAGGGTGCACAGAAGCAAGGAATTTAAACAGATAAGGAATATACTTTTCAGCTTCAAATACCAATTCTATTTCTAAGTCATCAGTTAGTAGTCATCTGCTTCCCCCTGCAGTTTTGTGAAGCTATTGCTGTACCATGCACCCAAGGAGTTGAATTTCAATTTAAGGTTGTAGTCACCCCCCAAAAAAAATCCTTTTTCAAATCTTGCTAGAGTTGCCACTCAAAAACTGTGTCAAGTCTGCCTGCTCCACTCAAGAGGTAGAGTAATAACCATTGCTAGACTCTGCCCAATCCCTGCTTATGGGTGAACTTCATGGTAAAGACACATTAGTCTTTCCACTGCCAAATCACTACCTTTTCTTGAAATTATAAGCAGCGCTTCCAGAGACAATAGGTCACATCCATCCTGGACAGTCAGTTTAAGTTAACATGCCAGACTGAGTGACAATACATGCCATCCAGTCGTTCCTGTTCCAGAGGCAACAACCTCAGACAGGAAAGTAGAGCTGACCACTTAATCCATCACCACAAGTCAAAAAGGTCTCAATTTGACAGTATCAGCATCTTCCAGAGAAATGCAAAAATGAATATAAGACTAAAATCAGATAGCAGAACTGAAAGAAAGATGAAAGTATACTTTTTCACTCTTTCTATTAAACTGCCATTGAGCAGACTTTTATGTCTGTTTAAAAACATAACT